GATTAACATTATATATCGAGGGGGAGAGGCTATGTGGCTTAAGCGAAATTTTCGCAACGTTAAAGGAAAGCCATTGAATGTCTAAAGCTTGGAGAAAAAAAAATCATAACAATAAAACCTCTTCAGCTATTTGAATGGGGTAAACTTAATTGAAGTTCAAATAAAAACATCGAATCGTTGATGCTAATCTATACTTATATTGATAAAATGAATTACTGTTCGTTAGTCTCGCTAAAACTCGAGAACGACCGGACCGATTTGGTTAATTTTGGTCTTAAATTATTTGTGGAAGTCCAGAGAAAGTTTAAAAGGTAGATAAATATGAAAATAGTCGGAATTAAATAAAAATAACAATTTCGATATGAGTTCTAAGGTCTCAGTTTTTACAGTACAACGGCTGGCCCACCCTTCAAACCGAAACGCGTTACTGCTTCACGGCAGAAATAGGTAGGGTAGTGGCATCTATCTGTGCGGACTCAAAATATGTCCTAACACCAGTAATTATAATTTTGCGGGTTTGTTTTTTATTACACAATGTTATTCCTTCACTGTGGAAGTCAATCGTGAACCTTTGATAAGTACGTTTTTTTTTATATTCATAATTTTGATGTTCGTAGTATTTTTTTTGATATTCATAAAAATAATACGTTTTATTTGGTTTAAAAATTTTATTCGGTTCAAAAATTCATAACACTAAAATAGTATTTTCTGTTCGGTTTTCACAAGACGCTAGCATAAGTCAATCGCGATCACGGATATTATAATCTGAAACATCGCTAACAATACTATATAGGTATTATAATGACAACAAAAAACGCTAGAATAAATACTTAAATAATGATGCCACTTTAATTAGATATCGTATTAATTGAAATATGTCATAGCTAATTAACGGATTTTTTGGTAGCCTATTAAGGACTCAAGTTTTTTATTTATTTTATCTTCCTGTCTAATTGTTGATAGCTTAAGCGACTACAGTAAAATCTGCTTATTCGCGCTTCCTTCATTCGCGTTTTCACTATTCACAGAAATGCGACCCAATTCTTCTATGTTCGCGGCTAAAGATTTTTATATTCATCTATCTAATCGGCACATCGGTACATACACATTTATAAACAAAATTATATTAGCTAGGTGTCCAACCAAATATCCTTTGTAAAGGCGAGGTCGTTATCAATATGGTCAAAAGCTTCAATTAAAATATATTTTTTATACCTGCTTTTTATTTTCTCACGTAGGAACGTATCCCCTATACGTTTTCTCTATTCGCGGCCTATTTAAGAAACTTATACCCCGCGAATAGAAAGCTTTTACTGTATGTATTTTTTTATATTCCTACTTAATAATTGGTAGTCTAGCGGCTATTCAGTAGGTGAGCTCACGGGTTCAACCTGAAAGAATTTGCTAACACTAACCCTAGCAAGAGCAGTGTTTCGCTGAATCTACCACCGGATCGGAATCGCGTCCCACTGAGAAGATCCGGCGAGAAATTCAGTGGGGTCAGGAGTGTTTTGTCCCAGGCGAGAAAAGAAAGCTATTGTCGCCAAGCTGCATCATAGCTTACACAAAGAATACGTAAATACATTACGTAAACTCATTGAGGAAGATAAGAAGAAATGTTTATAAGCAATGTGTTTGTTAAGTTTGTTTATCGAAACATTGCTTTGCCAATTAATTTTGTTATTTTATTATAGTAATTGGATAGTCGACGAATATGTTTATTAAAATGATTATTTACTATTTTTAATGTAAATATTTTCACTAGTTTTCCCAACGCTCAGAGCAATGATTGGTTACACCAAGTCTTTATTCAGTAGAAATTTACTATTATCAATATTGTCGTCCATAAATATTATAAAATTTTTTTTTTTTGTGTATCTCAGGAATGTGGACAAGATAGGACTATCATAACAAATTACATTATTATTTTAGCAACGTTTCGGTCTTTTATTAGACCTTCATCAGGCATCTGAAAATTACACATAATTGATAACCTACAATACAAAAAACAACAATTGTCGAAACTACCATATTTACCATAATATGAATTTAAATAATCCCTATCTTNTTTTATTAGACCTTCATCAGGCATCTGAAAATTACACATAATTGATAACCTACAATACAAAAAACAACAATTGTCGAAACTACCATATTTACCATAATATGAATTTAAATAATCCCTATCTTACACTGCACAATTGTCTCAGACATCAGAAACTAATACAAATCTACAAAGCCGCTAAATTAGTTAATTACTATTTTTGATTCCGAAATTCGATTGAGAAATTTACTTTTCGTATTATGTCGTTAATATTGAAAGAAAAAATTTGGCCATTTTCACATGTTTTATCTTTATTTATAGATTAATACGTGAAGCAAAAACTTTAAAACCCTTTTAACGAAAATTGCGTGGACGGAGGAGTATGATATTTACACCACTTGTACAGAAACACTCTTACACTGTTTTGAATTCAAATTTATTAAAATTCATTTTCTATTTTTTAGTTGGATTTTCTATAAAAGCGTATTTTGTTAGTTTTTTTATTTAAACTACCTATTCGCTGGAAGCCTGACGGGCTAATTCAACTCCTCGCGGAGGGCGAGGTGAGCTCACGGGCTCAATATGAGAGAGTTTGCTAATACTAGCTCTAGCAAGAGCAGTGCTTCGCTGAATCTACCACCGGATCGGAATCGCAACCCGCTGAGTATATCCGGTAAGAAACTCAGTAAGTTGATCTATTGATTAGTGGCGGCACATTGTTAGCCTCTTTCACTACGCTGCCTATTTCTGCTGTGAAGCAGTAATGCGTTTCAGTTTGAAGGGCGGGGCAGCCGTTGTACTGTAAAAACGGAGACCTTAGAAAAAATATCGTCTTTTCGCATTAAAAGTGTAAAATTTCCAAAAATATTCGAAATTGAGTTAATATGCGGAGTCACTTGGTATCACCAGTATTTTTCTCATAAATACTGTCAAAAGAGTTTTTTTTTTTGTAAGAGTAGTAAGTTTTGATATTAAATAGTTTTTATTGCGAGAAGACGACATCTCAAGGTGAGTGACAGCATTAACATTGTAGATTTCTCTATGCATCAAATAAATGAAAGATGCCGTAGGTTTAGGAAAGTTATTAAATAGACTAGTACATTCGATCTTAATTCTGAGCTATACTTCCTTTGATGACCATTTAAATTCGTGACTTGGCTCGGACATAAAAAACAAATTGTGTTCGACACATATTTGTAATACATTGCGTGTTGAATTTGAAAACGTAATGACCTTTCTCGAGGACGTGTGCCTAAGTAAATAGAACAGCATTCGCTAACGAAGCATTAGTTGATTCTCGTTTTTATCAGTTTATATTTGGTGAACCAATAATGTACCTTTTCTTTTATTTCTTAGATGGGTGTACGAGCTCACAGCCCACCTGGTGTTAAGTGGTTACTGGAGCCCATAGACATCCACAACGTAAATGCGCCACCCACCTTGAGATACAAGTTCTAAGGTCTCAAGTATAGTTACAACGGGTGCCCCACCCTTCAAACCAAAACGCATTACTGCTTCACGGTAGAAATAGGCAGGGTGGTGGTACTCACCCACGCGGACTCACAAGAGGTACTACCACCAGTAAAAATACATAAAGCTAGACAATTATTCAGATACATTAAGGTCGATAATCGTATATCCTATGAACACTGAAACAACGTGGCCTAAAGGATAAGACGGCCGGTGCTTTCGTATCAAGCGACGCTACTGTGCCGGGGTTCGAATCCCGCAGGCGGGTACCTAAATTAATTAAATACAGGTACTTAAAAAATGTTCACGATCGACTTCCACGGTGAAGGAATAACATCGCGTTATAAAAATCAAACCTGGAAAAATTTGAGTTTTCGTAATATCACCGATGGTAGAGCGTCTTTTGAGCCCGCACGGGTAGGCACCACAACCCTACCTATTTCTACCGCGAAGCACTCGGGAAACAGCTGATCTGTTCGTCGGTGAAGCGGTCGGTTGGCTATTATTTAATCTGATATAGAGAAAGTGGCAGGCTTATGCCAAGCAGTGGGTTACTGAAAGGCTTAAAGGAAATAGGAGATGTATGGAAATGGTAGAGGGGGAAGAGGTCGACCGAAGAAGACATGGATGGAGTGTGTGAATGACGATATGCGGGAGAGAGGAGTGAGTGTTGAGATGACAGCTGATAGAAGAGAATGGAAGATAAAAATTAGCTGTGCCGACCCCATCTAGTGGGATAAGGTGGAGAAATAAAAGAAAGGGTTACAGAAAGGCTGAAGCTTAATGGAAGCAGACACGCGGATTAGAAGTCGATTCGGTGATAAGTATTGAAATTGCTGAAGGATAGGTATCGCGGGCCGTCTCAAGTAGATAGAGTTCATTATCATCTTCTAGTAGAGATTTTAGCGGAATTTTGGAGTCGCTTTTTGGCTATTCCACTGCTAGCAGCTTCGAGAGGCTATTCCGGCCTCATCGTGTAGCCAGCTCAGGTGGCTCACCTTTTTTTTATTGCTTAGATGGTTGGACGAGCTCGCAGCCCACCTGGTGTTAAGTGGTTACTGGAGCCCATAGACATCTACAACGTAAATGCGCCACCCACCTTGAGATATAAGTTCTAAGGTCTCGGTATAGTTACAACGGCTGCCCCGCCCTTCAAATCGACACGCATTACTGCTTCACAGCAGAAATAGGCGGGGTGGTGGTACCTACCCGTGCGGACTCACAATACGTCCTACCACCAGTAATTACGCAAATTATAATTTTGCGGGTTTGAATTTTATTACACGATGTTATTCCTTCACCGTGGAAGTCAATCGTGAGCATTTGTTAAGTACGTATTTCATTAGGAAAATTGGTACCCGCCTGCGGGACTCGAACACCGTGGCATCGCTAGATACGAATGCACCGAACGCCTTATCCTTTAGACCACGACGACTTCAAAAGATGTTGCTAAGATCTGCTCTAGCAAGAGCAGTGCTCAATCTACCTGCATATCAGAATTACTGGGAAGATCCGGCGAGAAACTCAGCGGGCTGTGTCACAAATACCTTCATTCGTTCACACAAGATCACAACCATCTTTCGTTCGAAAATATTTGGTCTGTTTTACAGCAAAATATGTTTCGTTTACGGAATTAGGTAATTAATTACAAAATCACTCACGTACACAACACAAGCGATCGTTCGCACTATTATTGTTGGGATTAATTAATTTTAATTGTTGTATTTGCACATAATTATTTTGTCTTTTGTTTTTTTTTATTTTTGCGAACGCGGTACCAGCCGATTTCGTGTTAGGTGCACGTGCTCAAACACCCGATGCTCTTTGACGAATGAGCTATCCAACATGGCTGACCGAGTGACACTGTAATTGCTAGTGCTTGAACCAATTACTGTTTGTCGATATCGATAATTTGTTTTTAATTTTTTATAGGAATAACCTTATATCGAGAGATGAAAGGATATATGGTTTAAGCGACATTTTTCTAACTTTGCAGGAGAGCCATTTCAAAATATTTTTTCGGAAAAGAATATCATAACAAAAAAAAAGCTTCTTCAGCTATTTAAATGTAGAAAACTTAATTGAAATTCAATTAAAAACATGGAACTGTTAATGGTGGTACCAAATAAAACGCATCTTTAAATCCTTCTCCTCCTTTCGTAGTTCTCCTCATTATTGAGGGTCGTGACTCTCCTGCTGGATCAATCTCTCTTGTACGATTGTTTTCTATCTGCTGCGACCCTTGGCCTCTTGGAAGGCATCGTGGAGCTTGATGTCGAGACAAGACCGATTTTGGTCCAACCACCTCGTGGGACTGCGTCCTCTGTGACAGTTGCCCTTTCTGACGGGTAACCGTCACCATCAGCTGCTCAAGGTTGTGAACCTCCTTTCGAGCAATGTGTCCAAAGAACTGCAATACTCTACGAATGCATGTTGTGAAGAGTCTAGTTTTAACATTAAGCTCCTTTAATATTGACACATTGTTGCGAAAGGCAGTCCATCTTTAAATACAAAGATATATGGGTGAATATTTGAAAACGTGCATTTTTGATGTCTCGCTGTGAATAACACATTAAACCTAAATCGATTTTGATCACTTTTTTTATATACATAGTTAATGAAGGGGGGTACATATTGCTGATCAATTTATTGTGTTTTATAAGCTATTAGCCATTTTATAAAAAAAATAGTTCGCAAAACCTCACTACCATCCGTGTCCCTTTTCCCAATTTTCAACCATTATCATAAGAAAAATTAAACGAAACCTTTGAAGAATAAATTTTTTTCTTATTATTTAGTAAATATAATAGTTAACGTATAAACTGAAATAAAATATATGATATAAAGAACGGTTTCAGTTAATTTTATACCAATTCAAAAATTGTCCCACCCTTCGTACTACTTACCGTTCGCGAATATTGACAGTGACATAGAATTGTACCCAATGGTAAATGTCATCCTAACGACGACTCCCCACCACGACCTCAGTGCCCGCTAGTGACTTAAGCAGATTACACGTCCTAAAGAGCGATTTGGCGCCAACGAAAAATTAATAATCTACACAAAATCGTCCAGGTCAAAATAAAATCTCCTTACCGTTCGTGTCTTATATAAGTAAGTTATTTGTTCAGATTAATTTAATTAATGATTTAAATATTTGCCATAAGATTATTTCTCGTCTGATAACGTATTTAGTCTCATAAGTCTAATAAATAATGCAACGTACACAACTATTTCCAAATATCTACTTCCCATTTTACTATTTACCATTTTTCCCGTTCACATTTTACCCGAATGGTAAGGAGCAAGCTGGAATGGTAAGTAGGTATTTTTTCTATTTAAATGTAATATTGTTTCAATAAATCCTATTTTTACTGGTGGTAGGACCTCTTGTGAGTCCGCGCGGGTGGGTACCACCACCCTGTCTATTTAATAATAATAATAATAATAATAAAGATCATTTATTGCCTTTCACATCATAAAATGAAATACAAAAAAAAGAAAAGCAAAAAAAAGAGAAAAAGGCAAAAGGAGGTGGCTCAGCTATTGCTGTTCAAGGTTGATAAATTGAACAGCGCTGATTTTCAGTCACCCCCGTTTCCATTTGGTTCTTTGCGGGAATGAAGACTCCGTACGTGTGTACATACTCAGAATATGATATAAATTAGTAAAATTAGTAAATTATAAAAATTTAAGAAAAAACAAAATAAAAAACAAATTAAATGGTGAACCCGAAAACAAAACCAAAAATTTAAGAAAAAAACAACAAAAATCAAATTAAATGGTGAAGCAGTAATGCGTTTCGGTTCAAAGGGCGGGGCAGCCGTTTTAACTGTACTTGAGACCTTAGAACTTACATCTCAAGGTGGGTGGCGCATTTACTTTGTGGATGTCTATGGGCTCCAGTAACCACTTAACACCAGGTGAGCTGTGAGCTCGTCCACCCATCTAAGCAATAAAAAAAAAAATTAAACTGTCGTGTAAATTACTAAACCACTACAAATTTCAGATTCAAGAAAAGCGCAACATAGCACTTTCTGCGTTTTTTTCTGTCACTACCTTCTTCTCTTACAGTAGTGGTATCTCTATCGTCACTTTTTTGGTTTCTATCTATACTTATTCAATAAATAGGTATAGGTATGAGTTGTTAGCTCCACAACCGTAATCCACACAGACTCGGAGTCGTCTCACTTTGTCATCGGACTTCCACTTCTCTGTGGAAGTCCGATGACAGTTTGGCCCATAGTGCGAAAGAGAAGGCTAACCTTTTGGTCCAAAACCAAACTCTTCGCCTCGAACTCGACTGTGGACGACGGGGGTGCCACACCACTGAACATCCCCCGGTGTGATAGTTCCCTGCCGCAGATCTGCTTTACACAGTGTGCAGTCAGGCAGGAACTCCGACTCCTGGACGTCCATAAGTCGAGTGGGCCGGACGGCATCCCTGCTGTGGTTCTGAAAACGTGCACCCCTGAGCTGACGCCTGCGCTAACGCGTTTATATCGCCTCTCTTATTGCAGTAACAGGGTTCCGTCTTCTTGGAAGTCCGTCCACGTCCACCCTATCCCCAAGAAGGGTGACCGATCGGACCCATCGAGCTATAGGCCTGTCGCGATAACTTCCTTGCTTTCCAAGGTGATGGAGCGAATAATAAAAACACAACTCCTGAATATCTTGAAGATCGCCAGCTGATCAGTGACCGATAGTACGGTTTCCGTCACGATCGCTCAGCTGACGATCTTCTTGTATACCTTACTCACAGGTGGGCTGAAGCCTTGGAGAGCAAGGGCGAGGCTCTTGCTGTGAGCCTTGATATCGCGAAGGCCTTCGACAGGGTCTGGCATAGGGCACTTCTGTCGAAGCTACCATCTTACGGAATCCCCGAGGGTCTCTGCAAGTGGACCGCTAGCTTTTTGGATGGGCGGAGCATCACGGTCGTTGTAGACGGTGACTGCTCTGATACCATGACCATTAACGCTGGCGTTCCACAAGGTTCGGTGCTCTCCCCCGCGCTTTTCATCCTGTATATCAATGACATGCTGTGTATTGATGGCATGCATTGCTATGCGGATGACAGCACGGGGGATGCGCGACATATCGGCCATCAGAGTCTCTCTCGGAATGTGATGCAAGAGAGACGATTAAAACTTGTGTCTGAAGTGGAAAACTCTCTGGGGCGAGTCTCCAAATGGGGTGAATAAAACTTGGTTCAATTCAACCCGTTAAAGACACAAGTTTGCGCGTTCACTGCGAAGAAAGACCCCTTTATCATGGCGCCGCAATTCCAAGGAGTATCCCTGCAACCTTCCGAGAGTATCGGGATACTTGGGGTCGACATTTCGAGTGATGTCCAGTTTCGGAGTCATTTGGAAGGCAAAGCCAAGTTGGCGTCCAAAATGCTGTCCTCAACAGAGCGAAGCGGTACTTCACGCCTGGACAAAGGCTTTTGCTTTACAAAGCACAAGTCCGGCCTCGCGTGGAGTACTGCTCCCATCTCTGGGCCGGGGCTCCCAAATAACAGCTTCTTCCATGGCTTGACTCCATACAGAGGAGGGCCGTTCGGATTGTCGATAATCCCATTCTCACGGATCGGTTGGAACCTCTGGGTCTGTGGAGGGACTTCAGTTCCCTCTGCATTTTGTACCGTATGTTCCATAGGGAGTGCTCTGAGGAATTGTTCGAGATGATACCGGCATCTCGTTTTTACCATCGCACTGCCCGCCACCGGAGTAGAGTTCATGCATACTACCTGGAGTCACTGTGGTCATCCACAGTGCGATTCCAGAGGTCTTTTTTGCCATGTATCATCCGGCTATGGAATGAGCTCCCCTCCACGGTGTTTGTGTTTTACTAATTACCATTCCTATAGTATAATTACCATTCTAAAATTCTCTTTACCATTTGTTTAATTTCTCATTACCGTTTGCACAATAATTTCAGATCCAAATTGTGACGTATATAAAGGCTTATTTTTGGTCTCACGCATTTTTTTGTATGTGTATGCTATCAGCTTTGCTATGAATATCTAAAGAACAGTTTTGTAAGTACTGTTTTTTCATTCTTTAAAATTGTCTAATATGTTCATTTGCAAATATTCACCCATATGTGGCGTATTGAGCTAATTGTCACTTAAACTAAATAACCTTTTACTGTCCTTATATAGTAAAATATAGACATAAATTAGCAGTCGACCATCTTAGTTATGGACTACTTCTGAAGACACAACTTGGGTCTCAGCCTACGCTTGAAATTTTTATGGGAGTCACCACAGCTTTAAAATAAAAAAAGAATCAACAAACAGCTAGAAAAAATTAGTGAAATAACACACATAAAAAAAAATACATTCGAATTGAGAACTTCCTCTTTTTTAAGTCATATAACAAAGTACAAACATTTTGTGGCATCGAAGCGTGCTAACAAATTATTTGTTTTTCTACTCTACTTCAATTACAAAGTTCCATGAGACAGATGTTATTATTATGCTATTGTGTGTGTGAATTAACTGTATAACGATTTAGATTGATTGTGTATTTTTTAAATGATGTTTACAATCATGAACCAAAATTGATTATTATTTTAAACTAGCTGACCCGGCAGACTTCGTAGTGCCTCAATCGATGAATAAAAGACCTAAACTTTTGTAAAAAATAAAGTTAAAAACAAACAAAAGGAATCCATCCGATGGGGGGGACATCGGAGGAAAAACAAAACTGTTATTTTTATTTAATTCCAAGCAGTTTCATATTTATTTTAAACCTT